GGAAGGGTTTGGGGGTCTCTCACCAGACACAGCTCCAGTTGGTCACACAGGGCATAAAACTCCTCCAGGCTCTTGTCAAAGCGCTGCAGGGCCCCGTCCGTGCTCTTCCTGCGGGAAACTGGTGAGACTGGGAGGGACTGGGAGGGACTGGGGGGCACTGGGATGGACTGGGAGGGACTGGGAGAGGATTGGGGGGCACTGGGAGGGACTGGGAGGGAGATTGGGATGGACTGGGAGGGACTGGGAGAGGATTGGGAATGGAATGGGATGGACTGGGATGGACTGGGATGGACTGGGATGCACTGGGAGGGACTGGGATGTACTGGGAKGGACTGGGAGGGGATTGGGGGGCACTGGGAGGGACTGGGAGAGGATTGGGAATGGAATGGGATGGACTGGGAGGGACTGGGATGTACTGGGATGCACTGGGAGCACTGGGACAGTCACTGGGATGGACTGGGATGCACTGGGAGGGACTGGGATGGACTGGGAGCACAGGGATGGTCACTGGGATGGTCACTGGGATGTACTGGGATGCACTGGGATGTACTGGGATGCACTGGGATGCACTGGGATGCACTGGGATGGTCACTGGGATGGTCACTGGGATGTACTGGGATGCACTGGGATGGTCACTGGGATGCACTGGGATGGTCACTGGGATGTACTGGGATGTACTGGGATGCACTGGGACGGGGTCACTGAGACGGACTGGGGAGCACTGGGAGCACTGGGATGGTCACTGGGATGGACTGGGATGCACTGGGATGCACTGGGATGCACTGGGATGCACTGGGATGTACTGGGATGGACTGGGAGCACAGGGATGGTCACTGGGATGTACTGGGAGCACTGGGAGCACTGGGATGGTCACTGGGATGGACTGGGATGTACTGGGATGCACTGGGATGGTCACTGGGATGGACTGGGAGCACTGGGAGCACTGGGATGGTCACTGGGATGGACTGGGATGTACTGGGATGCACTGGGATGCACTGGGATGCACTGGGATGGACTGGGATGGACTGGGATGTACTGGGATGTACTGGGATGTACTGGGATGGTCACTCACTGGCCGGTGTCGATGCTGGAGTTCTGCACCAGGTTCTGAGCCGCCACTTTCATCAGAGTCTGCGGGAACGGGGGGGTCAGGGGGACACGGGGGGGACACCCAGGACCCCCCAATGTCCCCAAAAATGGGGGAGGGGGCACCCAGGACACCTCAGGGTGGGGGAGGGGACAATCAGGACACCCCAATGTCCCCAAAATGGGGGATGGGGACACCCAGGACCCCCCAAAATGGGGGATGGGGACACTCAGGACACCCCAATGTCCCTAAAATGGGGGAGGGGGCACCCAGGACACCCCAGGGTGGGGGAGGGGACACCCAGGACCCCCCCAATGTCCCCAAAATTGGGGGAGGGGACACCCCAAGACCGCCCCTCCCCCCCTCCCCAGGACCCCCAGACCCTCCCGGGTCCCGGCTCGGGGATCCCCAAAAGTCCGAGCCCCGCCCCCCCTAGCAAGGACACGCCCCTTTCTATAGACCACGCCTCTTCTCGGCGGCAAACCACGCCCACTGCGCGCGGCAGACACGCTGAAAATGTTTGGCCCCGCCCCTTTTGTCAGCAAACCCCGCCCACTTCACGTGGCAGACACGGCGGGAACGATTGGCCCCGCCCCTTTTGGCGGAAAACCACACCCACTGCACGCGGCAGACACCAGGAAAGGTTTGGCCCCGCCCCTTTTGTCGGCAAACCCCGCCCACTTCACGCGGCAGACACCGGGAAAGGTTTGGCCCCGCCCCTTTTCGCGGCAACCCCCGCCCACTGCACGCGGCAGACGCTCTGAAAATGTTTGACCCCGCCCCTTTTGGCGGCAAACCCCGCCCACTGCACGCGGCAGACACGCGGAAAATGTCTGGCCCCGCCCCTTTTGGCGGCAAACCCCGCCCAC